CCCCCCCCCCCCCCGGTCCTTGCAAAAATTTTCTGCTTGAAACCGGTCCCTGGTACAAAAAAGGTTGGGGACCACTGATTTACCTTATAAGTGGTAATAATATTAATAAAAAAAAGTTCTGAGCTACCCTTATTTTGCTTCAAAGTTTTTATTTAGAAATTTAATTTTTTTTCCTGAAATTTCCCTCTTAAAATGAAGATGCGTGTTATACGCCTGTGCGTGTTATACGCCGATAAATACGGTAATTGTCCTCTTTTAATGATGAACATCTGGGTGATATCCAAATTCCCAGGTATTTCACCTTTTTTACTATTTGCAGTCCTATTGCATTTTCTAATTCTACTTTCTGCTTTGTTGTACAGTTTTTGACTATTATCTTAGTTTTATTTTTATTTATTTTAAATCCTGCTACTTCCCCAAATTTTTCTATTTGTTGCAACAATATTGGTCCCTAATTCATTGGATCTTCCACTATAAATACCAAATCATCAGCAAATGTCTGAACTTTATATTCCTCATTTCTAATCTTAATTCCATAAATCTCTGGGTTTTGTCTGGTTGCAGCTAGCAACACTTCTAAAGACAAGATAAATAGACCTGTCTCTTACTTTTTCCTACTGTTCTTCTTCTTTTAACAAGTCACAGATCCATCAGGTTAAACTCCAAATTCCAGTCTAAATCAACTCCAAATTTTTCAGAAAAAGTCCAAAACACCAGTCAATCTTTAATCAACTAAATCGGCTTTGATCTCTGTCTTAAGAGTTCCTTGCTTTCACCGCCGGATTGCCATTTCCCTTTGGACTTCCATCCTCTTATTTAAGACTCACAGTTCTGCCGTCTCTCTCTGCCATTTCTCTCCTCGACTTTCACTTTCCGCCTCCTTCATTACACGTTCAATCCATCAATTGATGCCAAAAACGCTGTTTGTGCTCTGGTATCTTCCTCATTGGGCTAAAGTGCTACGACTTCGGTCTGCCATTGAGATGGCCGATCACTCACACGTTGGAGCAAATGAGGTCTCCCTTGAAGCTGTCAACAGCCGCCGCTGTCAAACTTCTCCTCGGGCTTTCTCACACCTTCATCTTCCCTTCCAGGGTCTACATGCCCCTCACCAGGGCCTCCAAACGCGCAGATTGGGGATGAGAGAGCAGAGCTTGCTCTTCTCTCCCCGCCACAGCGCTGCAACCGCTGACCTTTGTTAGGTTTCAAAGTGATGAAATCCATTTAAAAACAAAAAACCAAAGTCCATCTTCCAAAACAATTTCTTTTATTTAGGAAAGCATCAAATTGGCAAAGTCCATGGTAGTTCCAGATCTGACACAACCCGGAATTACCCCACAATATCATAAGTTAGAAGCAACCCCCAAAAGTCACATTATCCAGTAGAAGTAATTCAATGTTGCTTGATGTCATAAATCTCCACCTCAAGGGGCCTGAACATGGTCAGCTCATTTTCCCATGGGAAGAAGAATCACCTAGCCTAAACAACTCTCCCTATCTTCACTCCTCCCCCCTTAGGAATATGGCAAGCCCGAAACCCTTCACCCATGACCGCCAAAGAGAAAGTAAGAAAGAATATCTACTAAGCCTAACTAAAATGGCTACACATATGTTAATATCGGGCTTGATAACCTTTTGCATAAAAGGTCCTATTGCAGATGGTTATAGCCCTGGGTCAAGTGATCCCCTTTTCTGACCTAATAGGCAAAGCCATTGGGGAAATCCAGATTGATTACAATCCAGATTGATTGTAAACAACCATTTCATAACTTAATCCCAGCCACCACCCCAGATAGCTTAATAGATTGTGTTAATGGATGAATGGACTTAATGATCTTAAGTCTTAAGATCTTAATAATAAACAACCCTTCTGTACCTTACCAACTGCATGCTAAATTCCAGCCACCACCCCAGTGGAGAACTTAAATAGGGTCAAATTTGGGGGGTAGGGCTTAATTTTAACGCATGTGCACAAAACAGTGCTAGGCTTCTTTTTGGGGTGGGTTGTGTTTTAGGAGAAACATAGCAACTAAAATATATGCCTGCAATTTAAATTGCTACTTTGATGAAACTTAAGGCATGGCTAGTTCTTGTGCTAATGGAAACATTGTGTGGGTGGGTGGGGGTGGGAGAAATACGACTCCAGATTTTTGTTCTGCAATGAGTTTTTATGGCAGAGTTATTTGTTTTGTTTTTCTTTCCTAGCAAGCTCACAATAAAAAAGATGATGAATTTTGCAACATTTGGCAATCATTGCAGAACCCTGGAAAGTCTCAGCCTTCCATACAAAATAAGGATGAAATGGTTAGTATATGTCAAGAAGGGGCAATCTCATTTGTATCCATCTTATATGGCGTGTTGATGATCAAACCCAGATCGTAAATATTTTGAGGGAAGGTCACTAAGCAATTTAGTATCAATGAGTCAAGGTCTACCTGGACCTTTGTCTCAGTCCTTTGCCAAATTGAAGCCACCATATTCCATCTGGGTAGTGGCTTCCAGGTCTGTGTATTGGTTAAGGGTTGTTTTGATATTTTTGGCTGTCTCAGTTGTGCAGTAACAGCATCTCATGTTCTTTAGCCTTTTCTATGGCCAGCTTGAATATTTCAGTTGCCATGGAAACACTATGTTGATAATCCTAAACAACTTGCTAGGATGTAAAATTAAATTCATTGTATGACAATTTATACACATCTAACAGCTCAAAGCCTGAATATTTCTGAAAGTCTTGCCATATACCTCTAATACATATTTCCTAAATATTTATTTTTCAACTTTGTTCTGGTCTTTATTTCTTTCAGAGAGCTAGAAACTGTCTCCAATTTAACAGAGTGCTTTGCACTGAATTTCAATGACAAAGTTTAGGAAATTGGGGGGGGGGTGTTTCTTCTGCAGATCATATATTACCCTCTTGTGTTTTATGTAATCTAAAATACGTGGTCTATGCAAAATGTTACTCTTGCAAAACTTGATTTTCTAGGGTGAAGTTTTTTTACCTCAATATGTAAAATTCGGTGCCAGTAATAGGTCCTGCAAACCAGGTTTCAATGAGAATAGCTTTAAAAGCCAGCAAAAAGCCCAGGACTCATTTAGGAAATGTAAGTACTATAGAGTGTAAGTTCTTTAACTTACTTTAAATATTTTTTTAACTTTTAACTTTAAATATAAGAATCCTGTTTTGAAAACAGCTGACTTCAATGGGTATCACTGAATCCTATGCTAAAAGAAGGACATAGTCAATGGCTGTGGATCTTAATTCTTTAAAACTCACCCATAAACACAACATTTTTTAAGTTTTCCACTGCAGCTTTGTATCCTGATTCTATCTACTTTGTGATAGTACAATATCTGAATAGATAAACCATGAAGGAAGCTAGGAAAAATATATTGAGTTGTGTGAAGAAAGCTCACAGTTCTACTTAACAATAAATTCTACTACAATTAATGGATTTTTTTTAGTAAACACATACAGAAATTTTATTTTTCATTCTATTTTAAACTGGTTGTATGATTTTTTTAATTCCAGCCAAAGAGGATTCTAAAGAGCCAAGAAATGAAGGTCAAACACAAAAAATAGCAAACAAACTGGTAATTGTTATCTTTCTGCTTGCATATGACTACTCATAATTGTACTTTTGTTATTTATTTGTTTTACTCTTTAGAGGTCTTTTCTGGAAATCAGTTCAGAATTTTATTAAGCAGATTTGTGATGAGCAATATAGTATTGCTTTTAAATGGCTTACAAGAGTTATTCCAGTATTTTCCTTAGTGCACACTATAGCTTAGCTAGGAATTTCTGCAAATTCCTTTTTTCCCCCATAAAATAATAGGAATATGAAAAGATTACAATTTCACAGGATTTTAATATCCCCCCCCCCCCCCCACACACACATACTTTTGCAAGAGAATGTCAACATCTTTTGAAATTTTAGTTATTCCTAATACTTTAGAAATTACTTTGTCATTTACTCCAAGACCAATGGTAATCCCCAGGTTACAGGTTAAGAAACATTTGTCTTCAATTTGACTACTGGGCCTTATAAAAATATGAAGAGGGATCCCAATCACTATATAGTAGGACTGCAAAACCAAGGGACCTTTAATATGATTTCCTGAACAACAGTATCCCTAACATCATTTTGGGCTGCATGGTCCTTTACTTCTGAGAGCAGGAAGCAAGTGAAATATCCCTCTATACCTGCTGCTAAAGTTTTGAAGTGCTATGTCCTCTTGAAGGCTCACTGAGGCTACTCTGAGGCCTTCCCATGTCATTTCAGTATGTATGTGCATACGTAAAAGATACTTGTATGAAGACTTCAAGCAGTGAATTTGGAAAATTGCTTAATGAACTATTCACCCTTCTTGTATATATAGCTTGTAGATGGGTCATTATAGAATTCTACAGCTTATGCTTGATTTTAAAATATTGGTAGTTGTTTTTAGGACAATTATTTTGCAATATTTTCACATATAAGAACCAATTGAATGAAGAAACTTCTATTAAATTGCAGGATTTTGCAGGTGTAAGTAAGAGTAATGTAAAGCTTTTGAAGAGAAATGAAGGCTCAAGTACACAAATAGAACAAAAGTCTGCAGTTCATGATCCCAGCATAACTGCAAAGGTAGGAAATGGCTGACTAAATAGAAATATATATTTGACTGTACCCTGGAAAGAAACAGTTTTATTAACCCATAATGGAAAGCTGGGAAATTCCACCACCCTCCATTTGTTATTGAACAACAATTTCAATCTACCTTCACAATTGGCCATGATTAACTGGGATTGATGGGAATGTAAATGGATCAACATCTGGGAATTATAGCTTTCTGCTCTTGCCAAAGTAGTTAAATACAGCATTTAATTTTGTTTGTGGCTGTGTTTCTCTATAGAATTATATTTATGCTGATAATGAAAAGCTCTGGACTTGAAGTGATATTGGCCCCTATCTCCCTTTCTTAAATATAAATCAGAATATGACTTGATTGCCCGTGAGATGGATGCCTTCCATACTAGTGGCTGGTTGGAATATTAACTTGACAGGATTGTTGAGTTAATAAGTGACACAAAATTTAAACATTGCTTACATTAGCATTATATACTTATGCTATATTAATTGATTTATATATTGTAACTGCTCACTTTGCACAGGATTCAGAATTGGATAATTAATAGCTCAATAAAACCAATACAATGAAACAATAATTTTAAAAAAACCGTAACTCCAAACAAAAACACATAAACACAGGAAAACTTATTCAACGGGTCATACTTTTGAAAAGCAGGCAGGGTTGGAGCCAGCCAAATCTCAGGGAGAATGCTATTTATTATACCAGTTCTTACATTGTTTTTGTTTTGTAAACTTCTTATCACTTTCTGATGTTCTTATCAATTATATTCAAACCTGACTTTAATGAACTTCTCCTTCCCCTCAGCCCATTCACTGTTCATTTGCTTTGTTATTTGATTTTTATTCATTTTCTCCTTATATCAGGCACCTGATGATTGATTGTAAACTTCACCAAACTGCTATTAGTGTAGATTGGTTGTGGATTTACTCACACTGCTAGTGCCGGATGAGTTCAACCTCACCTCTCAAGACTTCTTTGAAGTTAATGACTGTTATGACTAGTATAAACTTGTCCCAGGTCATCATTGTCCCAACTCATGTCAGGTCAGAGTTTAGGTGTGGTGTTCATCTTGAACCAACTGTATCATGATCTGATTCTAGAAGATTTTTCCATCAATCTGTTGGTCATAGGCAGATCAATTTTTCCTGACAGTGAAGTTAACAGGAATTGCCAACTTTCAAAAGGAGGGACTTATTGAGATGCTCCATATGTTTGATGGATTCAGCAGGCTTTCTGATAATACTTGAGGAGTTTCCAATGAGCTGGAGAAATCTTACTAGTCTCTGGAATATAAGGGTGCCAGTAGGCCTTGTTCACTGATCATCTGGCTTTTCTTTGTTCACTAAGGAACTCCCGGAAATGAAATGGGTGAAGAGATATCTAAAATGACACTGGCAGAAATAACCCCACATATAAGGGCCCAGATGCCTACTCTATGGCCATAAGAGTGGCAGAATTATTTTTCTATTCTTATTGCTTCCCTGGAACATTAGCTAGCTACACTATTCAAAATATACCAGATGGTAATGGTACATGGATTAACCTTGGGTGATAGGAAGAGAGAGATAGCATAGATAATGGCCCGATAAACAAAATCTGTCTGATAGAGGGGTGGGGGTACAGAAAACATCTCAGAAGCAGAGGTGGTATTCAACTGATTCGCACCGGTTCAAGAGAACCGGTAGCGGTGATTTGGCATGGGTCACTGAACCAGTAGTGACTTCTGGTGGGCCACACCCTCGACCCGGTTGCCGCTCGCTTCCTCTACCCATCCGATGCTCCCACCGCCTGCCCCGCCCCGCCCCGCCCAGTCACTCTTCCCCTCCTATGCGACACACTGAGTGCTCATGGCTTGCCTTTCTAACCTGCCTTCCCACGTAGTGCCTGCACCCCAACTGAGCAGCCCTGATCTGCCTGCTCACAGGTAAGCATACATGTCATGCTAGCCCTTTCCCCACTATCCGCGGACCTTGCCTGGCCTCCCCCCACCGTCCCCAGACCTTGTCGGGCCTTCTCCACCGTCCCCGGACTTGCCAGGCCTTCTCCCACTGTCCCCAAGCTCGGCTGGTTAGCTAAGCCACCACATGGCGCTCTCCCAGCTATCCCTACCACATGGTGGCTGCCGCACAGTGAGTGGTGGTGGAGGTGCCCCGAAAGGGAGGGCAGGAACTCCCGGGGCTGCTTCCCATAGCCACGCCTCCACCACCCACTTCTTTCTTCTCACGGGGTGAAAAGAAGAAAGGCGTGGCCGCAGCACGCTCCAGTCACCACCTCTGCCACCTGCTTCTCCCAGGAGTGAATGGAAGAAAGGTGCAGGTGCAGCTGCAGCATGCTCCGGCCACCGTCATCGCCACCCACTTCTTCTCCCGGGGCTAAAGGAAGAAAACAGGTGGCCACGGCAGTTGCATGTGGCGGCAGTGGCCAAGTATGCAGCTGCCATGGCTGCTCACTTTCTTCATTTCATCATCCCCCAGGAGAAGGCAGAAATTGAGCGACGGCGGCCAGAGCATGCTGCCTTCTGCCTTTTCCCAGGGGTCGACAAAATGAAATGTTCCAGCCGCTGCCCACCACCACCACCGCCTGCTTTCTGCCTTCTCTTGCCCACTGCTCTAGAGCTCACCAGATCATTTTGTCCCAGTCAGAGCAGGTATGTGTGTGAGAGAGAGTGTGTGTGAGCGTTTAACATGCCGCCCCCTGCCGCCTCTTAGTGCCCCTCTGCTGGCCCCCTTGGGGATGCTAAGAGGCGACGGGGGCATTTGAGGCGCCGGCCCTGTAGGTTCACCCATTGAGTAGTAACACTCTGGAACCAGCACATCCAATGCGGAAGCAATGGCACGTTATGTGCCACCGCGTTCGACACACCGCCCTCCTGCCACCTCTTAGCGTCCCCAAGGGGGCCGGCAGAGGGGCACTAAGAGGCGGCAGGGGAGCATTTGAGGTGCCAGCCGGCCCTGCAGATTCACCCATTGAGGCGCCAGCGCCAGAGTCGATGTTTCTCGGCGTGCCGGCGGGGGGCGGCACCTTGAACGCAGCGGTGGTGGCATTGCTTTGCTCTACTTTTCCAACGCTGCACCGTTGCCTGCCCTGGGCTTCCTCAACCCTGCCCTGTACTGGCTCCAGGAAGCAGGGAACAGCACCGCCCTCTACGACGTGAGTGCCCTGGAAGGGGGGGCACTTGGGAGGCTGATCCCTGGCGGGAGGGGCAGCCTGTGAACTTGCTGTCAGGCATGGCAACTACAAAGAGGGGCGGGCTTGGTTGAGCGGGATCCTGGATATTGGGCATGTGGTCAAAGCCTTCCTACCTATCTACCAATCTATCCATCCATCTTCCTACCTACCAATATATCTGTCTGTCTATCATCTATCTATCTATCTATCTATCTATCTATCTATCTATCTATCTATCTATCTATCTATCATCTACCTATCCATACATCCATCCAAAAGGTCTGTCTGTCTGTCTTCCTGCCTGCCTGCTTGCCTGCCTACCTACCTATCTATCTCTCTGTCTCTATCCATCAATCCATCCATCCATGTTCGAGGTGCCAGCTCCACAGGCACATCAGGAAAGTAGAGCAAAGCCAGTCTGGGAGGGAGAGAGGGGGGGATGGAGGGAGAGAGAGTGAGAGAGAGAGAGAGAGAGACCTGATGCATCAGATTAAAATGAGGCCTAGTTTAGACTGAGGCCCTTTTCCACATTGAAACATCTTTGGTTTCTATTAAAGGTTTTGTGGATGAAACATGGTCAAGACTATCAGGAAGCTCTCACATTTTGTTGAGGCTTTAAACAGGATCCATTGGAAAAGACCTCCACCCTAAAAAATTACTTTTCCCCAATGAATTATAGTGCCAGTTCTGAAGAAGGCAAAACCAAAATGTACTGGTAAATTACAAGGAGAACACACACACACACACTCCCTTCTAATCCTTCTGGAGCAGGTGATTGGACTAGAATAGATATCTCATCTTTCTCCTCCTTTTTTTTTCTTTCTGTCCCTTCCTTCCATCACCCCCTTTCTTTGTCCCTTTTTCTTTCTTTCCCTTTTTTCTTTCTTTTCTTCCTTCTCTCTTTCTCTCTCTCTTTCTTTTCTCTCTTTCTCTTTCCCTCTCTCAGGCTCACCCCATTGACTTGGTGCACTGCTCCATTCGGACTTGCTTGGGCAGGTCCCTCTGGTGCAGCGGGCTCAATGGGGTGGACCTGCGGGACCAGCACCTAGAACGTGGCAGTGCTGGCATGTTTGAAAAGTAGAGCAAAGCCAGAGGTAATTTTTGCTGCAAAGAATAACAAAAGCTTCTGGGCTGTGCACAAGAAGGGACACACATGTCAGTGCAATTCAGCAACATAAAATAAAGAAATACAAATAAAACAAATCAACAAGAATCAGCAAAGTATCTCTGATTAGATTCTATTCATTACTAGAATCTAATCAGAGATGCTTTGCCGATTCTAGTCCAATGACCTGCTCCAGCAGGGTTGGAAGGGAGTGTGTGTGTATGTGTGTGCATGGCTATCAAAACTCCAAAAACAGATCAAATAGCTCTGGAGAGGCCAGTCATAAATTAGAACACTTGTTAAACAACCAGCCATTAAGTGAGGACCACTTGTATTTGGTTTGCCAGTCACCTGGCCACGCCCACCCAGTCACATGCCCACCAAACCACACCCACCCGGTCATGTGACCACCCACCCAGTCACATGACCAGCAAGCCACACCCTCAAATTAGGCCACGCCCACAGAAATTTGAATCCCACCCCTGGGTGGGGGGCACTGCGGATGAGTTTGTAGCACCAAGGGGGCAGTGGACTGAAAAAGTTTGGGAACTTTTAGACACTATTTAGACACTATCCGCTACCCAACAAAATACTGCCTGTATACAACAAAATTGTGGACATTGTTCTTAGGTCACAATGGCAATTGGGACTAGAATTTCTGTCACTAAGCAGTGCGGTCATAAAGTACAATGCCATGTGATCATGGGTGGACACTACGGAGTACAAGATCCCCATGTCATCCATTGGGGAAGAAAGTGGCATGAGTGATTTGTGAAGTCTGCCAACTTCCCCCATTGAGTTTGCTTATGGGAAGCCATCTGGGTAGGTTGCTAATAGTGACTCCATGACTGTGGGACTCTGCAAGTATAATTGCGGCTGGTTATCAAGTCCCGGAATTTGATCACCTGAATTGCGGGGGACATTGTGATGGCCACAATTTCAAGTACTGATCATAACTGAATGGTTGCTGAACAAGTGGTCATAACCCAACAATTACCTCTATACTGACACACTGATGCTTTATATGTATAAAATGGTTGTACTTTTGACACACACTTGGAAGTTTGAAAGTCAATGCATATAGTGGCAGAAAAAACATCTGCTGCGAACTCTGTATAGGCATCAGGAAGAGCATCAAACCAACCCAGTCACCCTGATTCTACTCCTAATTAAGGGAGTACAGGGTTGTAAAAGGAGTTTTATGGTGTCTACAGTAAACCAGGTCACTTACATGTTTAAAATAATAAGATCAGCATATTAGAAGTTTTATAATGAATTGTTGTTGAATTGTACCTAAGGTGGTTTACTAAAAACACTTAACCTTGTTGAGAATGCATATTTGTTGTGCATCTTTTCAATTACAGACTATTTATTCACTATTCTATTGAAGGAGATGACAAAAATTGTAGTGAATAGTACAAAAAACAGATGTGTTCAGAATCAAAATGTGTTTAATTTTGAACTTGGAAAAAAACCTGTTTCAAATTAGCTGAGTTTTGTGATAAGCTATTTATTATCTTCTTTTTCACTATAAATCTGTAATAGCAGAGTGGGTAGTAGCTATGCTAAGTTGTATAAGTAGGTAACATGGCAGAAAAATTGGTAAAGTATTATTTTTAAAACACACTCAAATTGTTTTGAATATACTTAGTAAGAACCTTCTATGTAATATTTAAATCTCATTATTTTTACACACTGTATGTTTCTAAGTATATCTTTATATATATCTTTAGATATATCTGTATATCTTTATCTACTTCTTAGAATGGGTCTGAACTTGGAGATATTTTGGCATCTTTAAAAATTTTCAAAGAAAAGGAACAATCACCTGATTCCAAGGAGTCAACAAAAGAAGATCATTTATCTCCCCAGTCTTTTGCCATGGTTTGTATATTGGATTGTGTTACCTATCAAATTGGAATTTCCTTTGGAATTCTGTTTTCTAAATTAAGATGCAGAATGAATGCTAAAATCCCCAGTTATTCTGTATTTATATACATACACATATACACGTATATATATATGCTTATAATATATTGCTATTTAACTTCATTTTTTAAAGAAAGGAACACAGATGCTCAAAGAAATTTTGAAGATAGATGCTTCTGCCACTCCAGAAGGAAAGACTAATGAAATTTCACCTTCCACTTGTAAACAGGACTCTTTTGAACCTGCATCACAATGCAAACACCCCCAAAAGATAGGTATGTTTGGTTTATTTTAGTAAATTGAATAGTTGTAGCAGATTATAAAATTAAAAATTATAATTACTTATAACTACTTCAAATTAGAACTTTCTTTATCTACAACAAAATATTTAACATATTAAAAATATTATTAGGAATAGGGAGGATGGGAAAAATTTAACTGGTTTGTACACCTTCAAAAGAACATGGAACCATTACTATGTACAGACTTTTTGATTCTCCAGGATCTATTATTCTCTTGCTACCAAAACTGGTCTATTCAAAGACATTTTCTAGCCATCTATGTCCCTTTTGAAGGGGCCATGTAAAATATAGGGAGGATGCCTGCTTGCAATAGACCAGTTGTGAATATGTTACATTGAAGCAGTAAAGCTAATTTTTTTGACTTGTTCAAAACATTGATGTTATACATTCACTTTTATATTATGTTTCATTGATAGTGGACTTCATGAATAAATCTAATATTGGAGTGTCACAGAACATTCAAGCCATGGGAAAAGGAAGCTATTCTCCCCTTGGAACACCAAATACAATATCTACTGCTGTGTCTGAACTTTCTCGTATCTGTTCCCTTGTTGGAATGTTGCAACCAGATTTCTCATTCCTTAGAACCCCACAGGTAACCTTGGAATTAAACAAATTGGCTGAGTAAGTTAATTGTTACTTATTTAAAATTGAAGGAAAAACTGCCTTTTAACAACCTCTTTCTACTTGCATAAATCAAGGATTTGCTACTGCATTTGGATTGTGTAGGCATCCACCAATCTTCATTTATACTCAACAGAAAGTTGCTTCTAACACCAAAATTGTTTTCAGTGATGCTTAGTTCATACATGGAGTGGATTTCCCTGTCTATCTATATCTATGTCTATGTCATGTCATGTCTATATCTATATGTATCTATCTATCTATCTATCTATCTATCTATCTATCTATCTATCTAT